TCCGGATTTTGCCTTCCTTGTTTCGTCATTACCGCCACCGATTCTGTTACTAGGTGATTTTAATGCCCACCATTTCCTCTGGGGAGGGTCTCACTGTGATTCCCGAGGAATTCAGTTAGAGGCTTTTCTTGCCACCCACCCCCTCCATGTTTTAAATACAGGTACTCGCACCCATTTTGATCCTCGGACTCATACTCCTCTCTTGCATCGATCTCTCAGTTTGCTCTTCCTCCACCGCATTAGACTTTACTTGGTCTGTTCTCCCGGACTTACATGACAGTGATCATTTCCCAATCATTCTTACTTCCCCTTCATATTCGCCACCTCTTCGCACCCCACGCTGGCAATTTAATCGGGCCAAATTGGAACCTTTACTCACACCTGACTGTTTTTAAAGAGGTTCCTTCTTCGTCCTCCATCGATGAGCTTTTACACCTCTTCTCGTCCTCCGTTTTCACCGCAGCTTCTCATTCTATACCCCAAACTTCGGGCAGGCATTCTCAGAAATGCGTGCCTTGGTGGTCTCCTGCTTGTGCTCGTGCAGTACGTTTGAAACGCGCTGCATGGGGCAGGTACCGGTACAATAGAACCACAGAGCGACTCCTTGATTTTAAACAGAAGCGTGCGATCGCTCGCCGTGTCATCCGTGACGCTAAACGCACTTGCTGGCGAGATTATGTCTCCACCATCACCTCTGCTTCCTCTATGAGTGCAGTCTGGAAAAAAGTACGAAAACTGAGTGGTAAATATTCTCCTGACCCGGCTCCTGTTCTGCGGGTTGCCGGTGTTGATATAGCAAACCCACTAGATGTTGCCAATGAAATTGGCAATCATCTGGTCCGTATTTCTCAGGGACTCCATCTATGCCCCTCATTTCTTTCCTCAAAGTCTGCCAGAGAGTTAGCACCCTTGGACTTTTCTTCTCTCAGAGAAGAACAGTATAATGTGCCTTTTACACTTCAAGAACTGGAGGCAACACTCTCAGCTTGTCGATCATCGGCAGCTGGGCCCGACGACATTCATATTCGTATGCTAACAACATTTACATCAGTCAGCCCTTGCAGTCCTATTACGCCTTTACAATCTTATTTGGTCACAAGGAGTTCTTCCACAGCTGTGGAAATCCGCCATTGTTCTCCCTTTCCGCAAACCAGGCACTACGGGACATGAAACCTCCCACTATCGTCCCATTGCTCTTACCAGTGCAGTTTGCAAAGTAATGGAACGTCTAGTAAATAGACGTTTAGTGTGGTATTTAGAGACACACAACAGTCTCTCCACTCGTCAATATGGCTTTCGTAAGGGACGTTCTACCATAGACCCTTACTGCGCTTGGATACGTATGTTCGTAATGCCTTTGCGAATAACCACTCAGTTATTGCCATATTTTTTGACCTTGAGAAGGCATATGACACAACTTGGAGGTATAATATTTTAGCCCAAGCCCACTCCTTAGGCCTTCGAGGCAATCTACCATCCTTCCTTAAGAACTTTTTAACTGACAGGCATTTCCGTGTTCGGGTTAATAATGTGCTCTCCCCGGACTTTATCCAAGCTGAAGGTGTCCCCCAGGGATGTGTTCTGAGCACAACACTTTTTCTCCTTGCTATTAATGATTTGGCCTCTAGTCTTCCATCAAATATTTGGTCATCACTCTATGTTGATGACTTCGCTATTGCCTGTGCAGGCGCTGACTGTCACCTCCTTACAGTTTCTCTCCAGCATGCAGTCGACCGTGTTTCCAATTGGGCCACCACACATGGGTTTAAATTTTCCAGCACTAAAACCCACCAAATCACTTTCACTAGACGCTCTGTCATCTCTGATCATCCTTTGTACCTCTATGGCTCACGTATCCCTGAACATGATACAGTCAAGTTTCTGGCCTCCTCTTTGATCGTAGGTTTATCCTGGAAACCTCACATTACCTCTCTGAAGGCAACTTGTCACAGCCGGCTGAACCTTCTTAAAACCCTTGCTCATCTTTCGTGGGGAGCTGATCGTCGAACCCTCCTTCACCTACATTCCACCCTTATTTTTATCGAAACTTGATTATGGTGACCAGATCTATTCAGCGGCATCTCCTGCTACTCTCTCTAGCCTTAACCCCATTCATCACCAAGGATTACGTTTATGCCTTGGTGCTTTTTCGCTCTTCCCCTGTCGAAAGCCTCTATGCAGAAGCGAACGTTCCATCCTTATCCGATCGCCGTGATGCCCATTGCCTGCGCTACTATGTACGCTCTCATGATCTCCGCAATCCTTCCATTTATAGAATGGTCACTGATATTAGTAGACATTCTTTATTTGTTCGCCGCCCCTGCTTACTCCGTCCCTTCTCTTCTTCGCCTTCATTCGCTCTTGTCTTCTCTTCAACTACCACCTTTCTATGTACATGTAGCATCTCACTTTTCCCTACCCCCCTGGGAAGTTCCAGCTGTTCGAGTCTGTTTCTTTCTCCCTCCCTTGCTCGAAAGCCCAACTGTCTACGGTCGCTTCCCCCGCTCTCTTTTTCTTGACCACTTTCACTCTCATTCTCATGCCATTGCTGTGTACACAGATGGCTCTAAGTCTTCTGACGGCGTAGGATTCGCAGCAGTGTTTCCGGACAGCGTCGTACAAGGGCATTTACTATCTTCAGCTAGTATTTTTACTGCTGAATTATATGCCATCCTTACAGCACTTATCCGTATTGCATCTATGCCTGTGTCATCATTTGTGGTTGTCTCAGACTCCCTTAGTGCTTTACAGGCTATACAAAAATTTGATACACCTCACCCCTTAGTCCTCCGTATCCAACTTTGGCTACGCCGCATCTTTACTAAGCATAAAGATATTGTTTTTTGTTGGGTCCCTGGTCATGTTGACGTACAGGGCAATGAACAGGCAGACACTGCTGCGCGGTCAGCAGTACATGACCTACCAGTTTCTTATAGAGGTATTCCATGTACGGACTATTTTGCTGTAATATCTTCCCACCTTCACACCCGTTGGCAACAACGTTGGTCTACTATGCTCGGCAACAAACTTCAGTCTATTAAACCGAGTATAGGTTACTGGCCGTCTTCTTATCACCAGTGTCGAGGTTGGGAGACTACTCTCTCCCGTCTTCGCATTGGCCATACTCGTCTTACTCAGGATATCTCATGGAGAGGCGTCTTGCTCCTCTCTGTGAGAATTGCAAGCTCCATTATCAGTCAGCCACATTCTGTTTGGACTGCCCACTTTATCAACGAGCACGCAGAATTTACCTCTGTCGTCGTCTTCGCCCCGCTGCTCTCTCTTTACCTTCCCTTCTCGCTGATGGACCCACCTTTCATCCGGACTCTCTCATTGACTTTTTGACAACGACTGACTTACTTCACAAATTCTGATACTTTCAGCCCTTTCTACTTCAATCTCTTGCTACCCTCTACCCCCGTACTATCCCCTGCCCCGCTGTTTTCTGTAACCTGCTGATCATCCCCCCTCCCTTCTGCCATCCAATTCCCTTGCTTCCTTCCCTACCCTGCAGCGCTGTATAGCCCTTGTGGCTTAGCGCTTCTTTTTGATTATAATAATAATAATAATCTACTGTATTATGATATAGAGTCAGTGGATACAGGGGCTCTACTGTATTATGATATAGAGTCAGTGGATACAGGGGCTCTACTGTATTATGATATAGAGTCAGTGGATACAGGGGCTCTACTGTATTATGATATCGAGTCAGTGGATACAAGGGCTCTACTGTATTATGATATTGAGTCAGTGGATACAGGGGCTCTACTGTATTATGATATAGAGTCAGTGGATACAGGGGCTCTACTGTATTATGATATTGAGTCAGTGGATACAGGGGCTCTACTGTATTATGATATAGAGTCAGTGGATACAGGGGCTCTACTGTATTATGATATAGAGTCAGTGGATACAGGGGCTCTACTGCATTATGATATCGAGTCAGTGGATACAGGGGCTCTACTGTATTATGATATTGATCAGTGGATACAGGGGCTCTACTGTATTATGATATAGAGTCAGTGGATACAGGGGCTCTAACTGTATTATGATATTGAGTCAGTGGATACAGGGGCTCTACTGTATTATGATATTGAGTCAGTGGATACAGGGGCTCTACTGTATTATGATATTGAGTCAGTGGATACAGGGGCTCTACTGTATTATGATATTGAGTCAGGGGATACAAGGGGCTCTACTGTTTTATGATATAGAGTCAGGGGATACAGGGCTCTTACTGTATTATGATATAGAGTCAGTGGATACAGGGGCTCTACTGTATTATGTAAAAGATACAAACAGTATAAAATGTAAAAAAAAAAACAATATTTTTTTTAAATTGAAAATTTATAAAAAAATTGCAAAAAATTCAGCTGATGCTTTAGAACTAGTAAAAAAAATTAATTTAACATTAAAAAAAAAAATTACATGTTGGTACTTCTTTATGACTGCTGTCTGTGGCAGACTTCATAGTTGGTAGTGTGTGATACAGGGAGTGTCCTTATACACCTTGCATAGCTCTCTTGACTTGCACAGAATTTACTCATCTGGAAAAGAATTGAGAGGTGTGGCTCTCCTGTACTTGTGGAGAGTGTTACAGTAAACAGGTGCTCATCTGTAATTATGTAGTGGAGAGTGTTACAGTAAACAGGTGCTCATCTGTAATTATGCAGATTATACTATTTGAATTTTGAAGCCTTCGAGTGATATTTCCTCTAGCTGGAGGAACCTACAGTCCTTTTTATGCAATTGCCCAGAGTTACAGACAGCAACATCAGTAACATAGCCATAGCTGCATATACCTTCTACTGCCTCTTAAAGTGAAAGTAACAGCAAATATGAAAGAAACTTAAAAGGATATACTAACCCACTGAAACAGATCTTTGAAAGGAAGCATAAAATTTTAAACCCTTAACTTTAAGTTCCAGTCATTTGAAAGTTACAATCCAAAATATATAAAATAATAAAATATTTAAATACTGTTTCTTTTTTCTCTGCAGGTCACTCTTCAGACTGTGGCACTTCTTCCTTATAGCAGCTACTAGTGGCCATATAGAAAAGTATATAATTCATGTACTTACTACAAGAATACAGTTGTTGTCTTCACTATCTCTGTGTACAGTCCCACTATCATAAAATATCCTTATATGTTAAGCTAACAAGTATTAAACAAATTTGTGTTGACACAAATGAATACACAAATGTTTCATAGTGTGTTGTGCCATTAATTCTGTGTTGTGCCATTAATACTAAAAATATAAATACTTCAAAACAAAAAAGGTAAAAATTCTTTGTGATAAACTAAATTAATTACCTTTATTGTTTAGCCAACAGAAAAGTTGAACATAAGTAGTTATATAGTTTGAGTAAATAATTTTTAGACATCAGTCCAGCACTCAATATCAAGTAAAAAGTGAACTTGTAATATTGTGTGTGTGCATGTACTGGAAGGAGTTTCTGTTCTTAGTGTAATAACTTCCTCTTCTCTTCTTCCTCCTCCCACTTTCTTCCACATCAGTAGTGTCCCTACTGATGTGGAAGAAAGTTGCTGTTCAGATGATCTTCTGAACAGCAACATAATAGCATATTCTTAGAAATAATTAATATGTACAGAGTGTAAATTATTTTCCATATTGTTTTGATATCTATACATAAGTGTTTCCATAGTAATTGAGAAATTATTTAATTCAAGAGCTCAAACTTAATAAAAGAAAATCTTAATTATTGTTCAGTGTGTTTTAATAAATTAACACTGAAGAGTTTATACACAAAATAAGTTAGAGAAAACAGCTTGATTGTTCCAAACTATTTTCAGTATAGATACACAGGAGATCATACATGAGAATATTTATTTTTGTGTTCAAAATATGTATTACAGAAATCATGTACAATGCATCATGTAAAAGATTTGTCCAGTGAGAGCCCAGTTCAGGCTCCACAATGTATAGCAGTATTTAACCCAAAATCCTCTGTTATAAAAAGTATAATAGTTCATATGGAAGTGAAGCCACATCAATGTTCAGAGTGTATAGCCAATTGTATACAAGTATCTTGTGATATTAATCCCTTGGGAATTCATGTAGAAAACAATCCTTCAGAATCACACCAGTGTTTATTGTTTTCAAAGCAGTTTTCACAGGAGACACATCTACAAAAGCAGAGGGAAAATCATAGAGAGAGGAAACCATGTACTTGCTCAAAATGTCAAAAAAAGTTCTTTTAAAACCAGGAAGTCTAATACAACATCTCAGAAATCCTTGTGGAGAAAATCCATATCAGTGTATCAGGTATTTAAAAGACTTATCAACCAAAAAAGCTCTAAAACGACACATAATTAAAAAAAGAGAAAAACCACACCGATGTTGTATGTGTCAAAGAGATTTTTCAGACAGAAAAGCTTTAATAAGGCACAAGAAAGTGCATACAGGTGAGGCAGGATACCAGTGTTTATTGTGTAACAAAGAGTTCATTAAACGATCTTGTTTTAAACACCACATAAGAACCCATGCAGAAGGAAAATTTCATCAGCTTTCTGTATGTTCACAATCGTTTTCAGAAAAATCTCATTTAGATCAGCACTTAGTGGTTCATAATGGAGAAAAACCATATAGCTGTACAGTGTGTTCAAAAGGTTTTTTAAGTAAAACACAGCTAACAAGACACACAAGAACTCATACAGGAAGAAAACCTTTTCAGTGTTCAGTGTGTCAGAGAAGTTTTTCAGATAAAGCAGTTCTTGGACAACACATGGTAATTCATTCTGATGAGAAATATCAGTGTTCGGTGTGTTCCAAAGATTTCTCACAAAAATCACTTCTTGATCAGCACCTGAGAATTCACACATTAGGGAGACCATTTCATTGTTCAGAGTGCTCAGATTGCTTTATAAATAAAACAAAACCAATGAAGCACATAAGAATTCACACAGGAGAAAAGCCATTTCACTGTTCAATATGTCTAAAAGAATTTTCGGAGAAGTCAAATCTAGGGCGGCATATAAGAGTTCACAAAAGAGAAGAACCGTATGTGTGTTCAGTGTGTTCAAAAAATTTTTCTCAGAAAATACATTTAGAACAGCATAAGAAAGTTCATAATGAAAGGAAACAGTACAGCTGTTCATTATGTGTTAAAGGTTTTTTCCATTTAAAAAGCTTAGAACAGCACCTTAGATGTCATAGAGGAGAAAATTCATACCAGTGTTCAATTTGTCAAAAGGATTTATCAGATAGCACAAATCTAATACAACACATTAGAGTTCATGGAGAGAAATATCAGTGTTCAAAAAATTTTTTACAGAAAACTAATAAAAAGAAGCACATGAACGTTCATACAGAAAGAAAACGATGTAAATGTTCAGTGTGTGGCAAGGGCTTCTTCAGTAAAGCAAATCTAATAAGACACACAAAAAGTCACATAGGAAAAAAGCTATTTCAGTGTTCAGTTTGTTTAGAAGACCTGTTAGATAGTGCAAATCTGGTGAAACACATGTTAACTCACGAACCAGATGGATCACCCCAGTGTGATGCGTCTGGTTCAGTGTGTGTCGAGGATGTTATAGATGAAACTGGTCTAGAACAACACACCAGAGTCCATACAAAAGATATTAAAGGCAAAGAGGAAGATGTTACAGTTCATGAAGAAGAGATGTCTGAGGAGAGTTCAGTGTTGGAAGGAAATATTAAAGGCAAAGTGGACGATGATACAAGTCATCGAGAAGAGCAATCTGATGAGAGTTTAGTATTAGTAGATTCTATAGATAAAGAAGTAAATATTACAGCTCATATAGAGAGTATATTGCATCAGTGCTCAGCGTGTCAAAAAGAGTTTTCCGATAAAGAAATCTTCATGCAACACATGAAGTTTCATAAAGAAGAAAAACTTGAGGATTCAGTGGGTGTTGGAGAGTTTAACAGTATAAAGGAACTTACAACAGTCCCTATAGAAGATGTATTATATCAGTGTACAGAATGTTTGAAAGAGTTCACAGATGAAAATGATATTATACAACACATGAAAATTCATGAAGAAATGGATCCTGATGAGAGTTCAGTATGTGTGGATTTTAAAGATAAAGAACATGCAGCAGTCCACACAGATGTTTTATACCAGTGTTCAGTGTGTCAGGAAGAATTTACAGATGAGAAAATTGTCCTACAGCACATGATAGTTCATACTGTTGAGAAACCTTTCAAGTGTTCAGTGTGCTTAAAAGAGTTTCCAGAAAAAGAAAGTTTAGAACAACACATGAAAGGTCATGGAAGAGGGAGACCATATAACTGTTCTGTGTGTTTAAAAGGCTTTTTAACTAAGGCATGTATAATACGACACATGAGAGTTCATACAGGAGAAAAGCCATTTCAGTGTTCACTGTGTCTAAAACACTTTGCGATAAATCGTTTTAATTCGACACATGAGAATTCACACTGGAGAAAAACCATACAAATGTTCAGTGTGTCTGAAAGACTTTGCAGAAAATTCACATTTAAAACATCACATGAAATTTCACACAGGAGAGAACACACAGAAGTTGCACAAATGTTTAGTTTGTTCTAAAAGAATTTCTCTAGAACATTTGGAACAGCACTTGAAAGTTCATTTAGGAGATAAACTATTTAACTGTCCTGTGTCAAAAAGGCTTTGCAAGTAATAAAGGTTTAATGAGACATAGCAAAGTTCACACGGAGAAATCACATCAGTGTTCAGTGTGTTTCAGATCATTTGCAAGAAATTCACATCTTCAACAGCACTCCAAAATTCATACAGGAGAGAAACCACATGAATGCTCAGTGTGTTCAAGAAGATTTATTCGTAAAGAACAGCTTCTGCAGCACACTAGAGTTCATACAGGAGAGAAACCATATAACTGTCCAGAGTGTCATAAAGACTTTAGATTTAAGGTAAGCCTTAACAAGCACATGAGAGTTCACACAAGAGAGTAATTGTACAGTAGGGCCCCGCTTTACGGCATTTCGCTTTACGGCGTTCCACTAATACGGACATTTCAAATATGACCAAAACTCGCTATAATGGCTCCCCCCCACCTGTCTTTCTAATACGGTCACAGCTGCCCACCGATTTGTTTACAATTCTCCCTGAGCACATCTTATATGTCTGAAACTTTCCAAAATTTCAAGTGTTTTAAAGTTATTGTATATTTTATATGTATTGTACTTGATAATTAAACTTGTGTACACCTGTACCTAAATAAACTTACTGTGCTGGCATGTAGGTACACATTAAAATCACTAAGTCTCTCTACTCTTGATGCAATAATAAAATAATAATAATAATAATCTCTTGGGCGCATTAATGTCGCATATTACGTTAATATAGACATTTCTCTTAATCTATCTATGATATTTTTTTCAAAATTATATAAGAAACACATTATGTAACACACAAACATGATACATGCCCCCACAGTATAAAAAATTTATACAAATATATATGAGATGTTTACCAAACGGTTTGTAGAAGTTTGGGAAAAAATTACGTTTTCTCTAGCCCGTCACCTGTTACTAGGGATAACTGTAGAAAAATATTCCTTTCGTATGCCTTCACTTTATAGCTATAATTCTGTACTAACTTGTACACAGTGTAAGAGTATTTGTTTCGTGATTTAATTATTATAATAATAAAAAAAAATATTATAAGGTAAAAGTTTCACAAACTCTTACAAATGTACATGAATGAACTAAAACTGGACACGTTTAAATACCGTCTATTTCGCCTGACCGAGTGATCATCCACAACCTTTTCAGTTTTGTTTTTTGCTGTCTGAGCTCGGTGTATCATTAAATGTTGTATATTACGTTAATATACACATTTTCTTTAACCCTTTGACTGTCGAAGGGCCAAATCCTGAAGTTGCTTCTGCTGTCGCAAAATATCAAAAAAAAAAAAAATAATTTTTTTTATGAAATGATAAGAATCTTTTCCCGATTGTAAAGACCCAAAAAAACGAAATTTGATGGAAAACTGACAGAATTACGCTCTCCGAAGTTACGACTTCGGCGATATTTAAAAATGGGCAATTTCGCCCACTTTGAGCCCTATTTTCGGCTAATTCCGTTATTCCAGTCAACCAAACTCATAACTATTTCTTCAGAACTCTATTTTTTCTATCGATTGAGTACAAGAAACTGCCCATTTACCGATTTCAACTACCCAATAACAGGGCCCAGAAATTTGCAATTTGGCCAATTTCACAAAATTAAAAAATATGACAATTATCAAAATAAGGGCCAGAATGAACAATGCAGACATTCCTGGCTCTAAAATAACATTTTCTTTGTTCATCAGTCATGTCTCCAGGTCCCTGTGATATTACTCTTGCTTTTATTTGAAATTTTATTCAAACAAAAGATAGAAGATTTACTGTTATGCAGACTACTGCAATACTGTAATAATTGTAAAAATTACATCAACCCATTCATGACTGGGTATTAGAATGGCTATTTGGACATTTATTGGACAATGACATCATTTGTTCACTTATGAACAATCAGCAAAAAATCAAACATTTCCTGTACTTTGTGCTCCATTTCCCCCGGTTCTTTTTATAGTAAAATTAATCAAAATCACCTCCATTTCTATAATATAGTTTCCATTCTATCAAATGAGACCAAGAAAACGAGAATACAACCACAAATACTATACGAAAATAGACCACAAAGTCCCCATTTTAATTAAAAAAAACGGTCTGAGTTTTTTTTTTCTCATTATGCACTCCGTGCTCCAGGGTTTTTTTTAGTGGTGCACACTGACCACACAGACCCATTCTCTCACATGTGGGCCTACTAGCTTTTCTCCTGCCTGATTTGAAGCCGCTAGAATTTATGAGTATATATACGCAAACATGGTACCTCGCAAACGTATATATACGGCCGCGACAGTCAAAGGGTTAATCCATCCGTGATATTTTTTTTTTTTTTTTTTTCAAAATTATACCTCTTCAAGGGGGGCTCCTTGGTGTGGTGAAGAGGCTCTTGGTCGAGGAATTAGCCCTGTCGTCTTCTTCCTCAACCGAACCTAATTACCCCCCATTCTCCCCTCCCCTATCCCATCCTCCCCTTTTTCCTTCCTCCTCCTCACCCCTCCCTTTTGCCCTTCCTCTTTTTGGCCTTTGGGATTTCTCCCACGGCGCGCTAGTTCCTAGGGAGGGAAAGGACAAACCCGGGGGCCCCTCCCATTCCGTTGAGGTTCTTGGCAGTGGCGTAGTTTGCCGTGGAATCTGGATTGCCCCGGGGATGTCCCGATCCCCTCCGGTATCCCGGAGTAGCTTTGGGTGTCTTTCGGGCGACGGGTGTATCTCTGGAAGCCACCTTTCGGATTCCGGGGGGGGTGGCCGAAGGAGGTATGCTTTGTGGCGGATATCCGGCCGCCCCCCTCTTTTGTCCACCGAGGTAGCTCGGGAGATGTGAGGTTGCTATCCCGGATTGCTGGTTTACTGGCATGAAAAGGGGAGGGTAGGCACGGGTTTCCATGCTGCATCTGCGCTACTAGCGGTGTTGAGGTCCTCTTTGGGCGCGGAGGGAGATTTCTGGCCCTTTCATTCCTCCTGGGAACTATTTCCCCCCTGCTCCCCCCTTTTTTTTTTTTTTTTATTTTTATTTTCTTTTCGTCTTTCTTTTTTTTTTCTTAAAAACAAAAAGCAAAGGAGTAACCTAACCATGGCAGCCCTAGTCCATGAAACCACTACCCCCGGGCCTCTTCTTGATACCGCACACCCATTCTGACCCTGCCTTGTGTTTAGACCACTCTTTGAAAACTCCTGAAAGCCCCTGTACCTCTTGCTGGTGCTGTTTTCCTCACCCGCTTCAGGTACCGGGGCTTCGAAAACCCACTCCTTTTTTTGTCTGAACTCCGGGCTCCTTTGAAATGCTCCGGGTTCTCCCCCTTAGGTAAAACGGCTTTTTTACGC